TTTTTTTTTTTTTTTTTTAAGAAATCCCATATTAAAAAGGACATTTGTCCTCTCTCCTGTTTAAATTGCTTTCCACGGGTTAGGGAGACCTGGCCATCGATTTTCTTCTTGAGAGCAGAACAAGCCCCGTGAAGATTTTGGCTAATTAACTTTCGGAGAGGTTCTGCTTGAATTTATCAAAAAGGCTGAAGTCTCTTTTCTCCTCCTGTATCTTGAAAAAGGCTTTAAACTTTTGTTTCCGAGTCGCTGCCAACGCCTGGTCTGTTTAAAAGTGACTTCCCTGGAGACAGGGGCAGGGAGGGTGTTGGATGTCACGTTTTTGCAGGTTCAATCTTTAATACAGTTGTTCCAGTCTGGAGAAGGGTTTCTCTGTTTACATAAGAGAGGTATCGTTCACACAAAGATTACATTTAAAAATACACATCCCCCCCCAGCATGCCTGTTACTAATAACATCGCATGTTACGGAAAGTGGAAAGTATTTAAGATGAATTTAATTTTCGCCCAGCGCACCACTTTGTTTGACTTTCTTGTTCCATTCGGTGTGGGGCATGGACTTGGCCAAACTCACTTTTCATTTTCAGCAACTTCCCTTTCTTGTGCCTCTCTTTGGGATGTTGGAAGCAAGTTAGGAGCGTATCAGGATAAGTCTAATTTGAGATCTTGCTGTCGTTTTCTTTTATCCCGGCTTCCCGAATTTGTTTTGAAGATGGAAACCTTCTCTCCAGTCTAGAGTTCTAGTGTGCCATTTGCTTGGTTTATGGATTCTCTTTCAACAGAATTTCTGGGGTTGGAAGAGTTAACATCTACTTTGGCCATCTGCCAAAAGATCGTGGGAAACCAGATGACTGTTTCTCACATCGGACACCTCTCTGTTACCTGTTCTTGTCAGTTCTCATCAACGTGGTGCGGCTGGTCGCTGTTTCATGAAGGAGCTGGAGCATCCAGGATGCCCTGGATGGGGCTGTGTGTCATCTTGGCTGCACTGAGCTGTCTGGGAAAGTTCTGTCACCCTGAGCTTTAGCAGTGGAGGCATTGAATTCGGTGGGACACAGATGTGAACGCTTTGTAGGAAATGGTTCTTTATTTTTGATCAGTCTCATGATCCTTGTTACCATCTTTGATTACATCAGCTCATGTTCTGTTTTATAGCATTTTAATAGGCTTCCATCCCCCCAATTCATTTCCAGCTGTGTGGCTATTATAATTTGATTACAGTTTGGTTTTGCAACTGCTAGGACACTTTCTGAGCACATTATGCCTTCCTTGTGAGGCTGAAGATGTTTAGAGGGGGAAAAGGAGCAAAGGGGCTTTTTTTTTTTTTAAGTGGTATGTCAATAAGTAATTTCCAAAAGATGCCTCAGAAGCTTCAATGGTTGTATCGTCCCAGAATAAGAAATTTGCTTTAAATTCTTTGGTAGACTCTGACCTGCTGATTTTTTTTTTTTTAAAGAGTATAGAAAAATCCCTCTAAAATTTTGCTTTCTTTAGTTCTCTAAATATTTTGGTTAAGAAATATATTATTTTTAACTCCGAGACTTTCTCACCCTGATTTTGGCTCCTTCAAATCTACATAGAACCAAAACAAAGGGACATTCATAATGTTGCTTCAAAATGAGCTACTTGATTCTCCCTTCTGGCCCAACAATCCCTGTGGCTCCTCCCTTCTGCCTTTCCCCACAGCTCCCCACAAAGAAGTACAATTCTACCTGGCAGAGGCTAGGTTATGACATTTGTATTTCCTTGAGACATTTATTAACCTCCAACATGTGCCTGTCTTTTATTTGTTAGGTATTTGATCTCACTGATTTTTTTTTTCTTTACATTTGATCAGTTTTACCAATGTTATATTTTTGGTCTTTGAAAAGGATACTATCTTAAAATTAGTAGCATCACCACATGTCCAAGGATACCAAAGATTCAGGAACATAAAATTTACTGTGCTTAATCAGATCACCACTCCAACAAACCAGAAAGGTCTTTCTATTTGTGTTTTAGATCCCAGGGATTAGATTATCTTGAATTCAAAATTCAACTCTTATTACAAATGCTTCCTTTGTTTTCGGTTAGAACGTCATTTTTCTTTAAGTGTGTGGTTTTAAAAGATTGGTTTATCGTATTGAATGGAGCACTGGGTGTTATATGGAAATAATGACTAATGATGTAATGTATGGTGATTAACATAACATAATAAAATAAAATGAAAAAAAAAAAGATTGGTGCATGCCTCTCTTCACCTCCTTTCACCACAATAGCTCTACTTTTAGGGGATATTTCCTCTGTTCTTCTAGTCTGTGTTTATATGGGTGTTTCTCTTCTGTTGTATTGGAAAGCCATGCATCGATGCTGGTGTTTTGGGTTCATTCTAGAGTGCCTTTGCTGGCAATTACTGAGAACAAAGTCTGGCTAATGGAGGATGTTAATGAGGGGACTCTAGAAGCCTGAGCTCCTGGTAGAACCCAGGTAGAAGACTGTTTCAGAGCCACCTCTATCCTGGAGCAGGACCTCATGCTTCCTGAAACAGGGACTTGTCACTTTACTGGTGGTTTATCTAGGGGCCCTAGGCTCTTTGTTAAAGGGGATTCTAAATTCCCTGGTGGATTTGGTATGGGAAATATAACCTGATTGAGACCTGACACCAAGTTGGATTCTGCCCCTTGGCAAGGCTCTTGGTCCTCATCGCCTGGGTCTTCATAACTCCATCATTTCCCCAGGGAGGGAGGTGGGTAACATCAGTTTCCCTCTGTGTGCGCTTCCATTTTTCCCTGGCCTCACTCCTCCTCTCTTCCTCTCCCGGGCAGGCTTGGGGACCAGTTCTACAAGGAAGCCATTGAGCACTGCCGCAGCTATAACTCGCGACTCTGCGCAGAGCGCAGTGTGCGCCTCCCCTTCCTGGACTCGCAGACCGGGGTGGCCCAGAACAACTGCTATATCTGGATGGAGAAGAGGCACCGCGGCCCAGGTGAGCCACGCCCCCCGGCACGTGTGCACGTTCTGGCTTCTTGTCTGGATGGAGGAGGACTAGACAGCCCTCGGGAATCTCCGCAGGGTGGCTGGGGAAGGGCAGGCTGTTCGGCAGGCCTGGGAGACTCTCAAGAACCTCAACCACTTTCCTAGCTCTTGGCGCACGTTCCAAGGGTGGTGTGGGGCAGAGACGCCACACTGGGGAGGAGGCAGCGGCAGAGTGGAAGAACTCAGGCTTTAGCCCCAAAAAAGGGAAGACTGAGGACGTGACAGCCATCTTCATCTTTTGCCCTTTTGTAGCTTAGTGGTTATAAGCTGGAAATCCGCAGTCAGATCTGGGTTTGAGGCTTGGCTCCTTCATCACACCTCTCTCCCTCAGGTTCCTCACCTGTAAAATGGGAATAATAATAGTATTTACTTTAGGATTTTGTCAGGATTAAATGGAAATATTCATAAAAGGCTTATGAGTTAGCTCATAGTAAGTATGTGCTCCAAAAATGCTAGCTATTATTGTTGGTATTACTATTATTATTACTATGACACTAGTCTTATAGGCACCAGAGAACAGAATAAAGACCAGTGGGTAGAGATTAGAGAGGCAACCAAAGTAATGCAGTTTTCTGGCTCTATATGGGTATATTTAAAAAACTTTTTATTATGAAAAATTTCAAATCCATACAAAAGTGGAGAGAATAGTAAAATGAGTGTGCATGTATTAATTGCCCAGCGTCAACAATGATCAACTCATGGCTGGTCTTGTTTCATTTATACTCACCGCCCACTTCCCTCCTTGACCCTTGGTTATTTTGAGGTAAATCCAAGGCAACATATTATTTTGTCTGTAAATTTTTCAGTATGAATCTGTAAATGGTAATGACATAAACAAATCCACAATAGCTATCAAAGCTCCAACTTAACAATAAGACATTAATAGAATCAAATATTTGTTCAACATTTATTTCCCCCTGTAGTTGAAATCAGAATCCAAAGAGGATCCCTACATTGTAATTGGCTGATGTGTTTCTTCAATCATTTTAAATCTATAGGTCTTGGGGTGTGTGTGTGTATGTGTGTGTGTGTGTGTTTGTGTGTGTATCTGTCTCTCTCCCCCTTGCATGTTATTTGTGGAAGAAACTGGGTTGTTTGCACTGTAGGGTTTCCCAGAGTCTGGATTTTCTGATTGCATCCCCATGGTGTTATTCCTGTGAATTGGTAGTTAGGACTAGAGACTTGAGCAGATTCAAGTTCCGTTTTTTTGGGCAAGAACAACTCCTAAGTGGCGGTGTGTACTTCCATCACGAGCCTCACGTTGCCTGGTTCTCTCTCTTTTCCTGATGTTAGCAGCCTTCCATGTTAGTTGCCTAGGTCCTTTATTCAATTAAGGGCTGCAAAAAGGTAACATTCAGTTCAAGGGCTGTCACTATTTTTTCATTTCTGAGCTCTATAACTTCTATAAAGAGAGACATCTCCTCATTAAAATTTTGGTTATTGTGAGGTATAGTTCACCTATGAAAGGTGGGATAATTTTGCCCCTTTATTTACCAGTTTATTTTATTTTTCATCATGATAAGTGTACTCTTTAATCCCCATCCCCTATTTCATCCCCCCTCCCACCTCCTTTCTGCTAACCAACAGTTTGTTCTCTGTAGTTAAGAGTCTGTTTCTTGGTTTATCTCTCTCTCTTTCTCTTTTTTTTCTTTGCTTGTTTGTTTTGTTTCTTAAATCCCACATATGAGTGAGATCATCATTTGTCTTTCTCTGATGGACTTATTTTAACTTAGCATTGTACTCTCTAGCTCCATCCATGTTGTTACAAATGGCAAGATTTCATTCTTTTTATAAGTGCATAATATTCCATTGTGTATATATACCACTTCTTCTGTATCCATTCATCTATCAGTGGACATTTGGGCGGCTTCTGTAATTTGGCTATTGTAAATAATGTATTTACCAGTTTTCAAAACAATGAGTTGGTTCCCTAGTATTTACCAAAGGTGATCAATAAAGTTATTATTTTGTTGAGTACCATCATGGATTCACAGATTTAAATGCACTGGGTACATTTTAATCCATTGTAGCTATTATTCTTTTTGATGCTTCTATTGTCCCATCTTTGGCCAGTAGGGGTTTGGGCCAATGTTGGTGTTTTGAAAGAATCCCAGTAGTTTCAGATAACTACCTTGCTATCCTAGTATTAAGACAGATGTTTTAGGCTCATCTTCCTGCCCAGACCTGGAATCAGATATTTCTCTAAGAAATCCTGTTGCCTTTTTGTAGGAAATGTTATTTAAAGACCATAATCTGGTGGTGCTCATTGTTGCTGGGTTGGTTGCTGTTTCTAGGACTTTTTAGTGAGTAGATCTAAGAAATATGATTTCTTCTCTGAAAAGAGAAAATACACCTATATTTCCCATTCAGTTCAGTTTTATACAGTTTTTACTTAACTATCCTAATTGTGTGTCTCCTTTCTCCCACACCAAAAAAATCCTGGCTCTTAATGATGCTGACATAATTACTTATTTACTTTATCCCACAACATACACACCAGAGTATCAGAATAAAATGAGACTTCCAACAATGAAATTACTGAAATGGTTTCTTCTTCTTCTCCTCCTCCTTCTTTTTGTAATTCTTTTTGTCCTTAAGGTATTACCCATTAAGGATGTAGAGTCCAATTACTGTGTTTTAAGGTCACTTGAAAGAGTTCCTCTGAGTGGTTGTGCCATGAACTGAATACACAGTTGGATTGGTTTCATTTTGTTTTCACTTATTAGGTATTCCTTTTTTTTTTGAATTTCATACAATTTCTTTGTCTTTTTAAAATTGGTTTTTATTTTGAAATAATTGTAGATCCACAGGAAGCTGCAAACATAGTACAGAGAGATCCCCCATATCCTCCACCCAATTTCCCCCAATGGATACATCTTATATAATCATAGCACAATGTGGAAACCAGAAAATTTGATATTGGTAAAATGTGTGTGCACAGTTCAATGCCATTTTATCACACATACAGATTTGTGGAACCACTCTATAATCAAGATACAAAACTATTCCATCACCACAAAGATCTCCCTCATCTCTACCCCTTTATAATCATACTCACCTACCCCTCTCATCATTTCAATACCTTTACAGTGTCTTAAACATTTCCTCTACACACACTGAAAACCACAGCAGAACTGTTAACTTAGAAAACTTAAGAAAGTGTCTATTGTATTTACTCATATTTTTACTCTTTCATTGTTCTTTCTTCCTTCCTGATGTTCCAAGATGCCTTCTTTCATAATTCCTTTCTGATTAAGTACTTTCTTTAGCCATTCTTTTAAAGTAGATCTACTGGTAACAACTTATCTTAAGTTTTCTTTCTTCTAAGAATGTCTTGATTTTTTTTCCTTCATTCCTGAAGGATATTTTTGCTGGATATAAAATTCTGGGTTGCTAGTCCTTTTATTTTAGCATTTGAAAAATGTTTTGCATTTCCTTTTGGCGTGTGATGAGACATTTGTTGTTATTCAAATTCTTGTCCTTTATAAGTGAGGTGTCAGGGCGCCTGGGTAGCTCAGTTAAGTGTCTGCTTTTGGCTCAGGTCGTGGGTCCTGGGACTGAGCCCGCATTGGGCTCCCTGCTCAGTGGGAGGCCTGCTTCTCCCTCTCCCACTCCCCCTGCTTGTGTTCCCTCTCTCGCTGTGTCTCTCTCTGTTGAATAAATAAATGAAATCTTTAAAAAAAAATAAGTGAGGTGTTCATTTCTCTCTCACTGCTTTCAAGATTTTGTCTTTAGTTCTCACAAATTTGATTTTGATATGTTTTGGTGTGGATTTGTTTGGAATTCACTCAGCCTCTGGAATCTGTAGATTTGTATCTTTTGCCAAATTTAGGAAAATTTCAGGGTGCCTGGGTGGCTCAGTTGTTAAGCGTCTGCCTTTGGCTCAGGTCATGATCCCAGTGTCCTGGGATCAAGCCCCACATTGGGCTCCCTGCTTGGTGGGAAGCCTGCTTCTCCCTCTCCCACTCCCCCTGCTTGTGTTCCTGCTCTTGCTATCTCTCTGTCAAATAAATAAATAAAATCTTTAAAAAAAATTTAGGAAAATTTCAGCTATTATTTTTTTGAATATATGTTTAGCCCCACTCTCTTTCCCTTATCCTTCTGGGACTCTACTAACACAATTTTTAGATTTCTTGTTATACCCCACAAACCCCCCAGGCTCTGTTTTTTGTTGTTGTTGTTGTTGTTGCTGTTTTTGTTGTTTGTTTTTGTTTTTAGTCTGTTTTTTCTCTGTTGCTCGGGGTTATTTTTATTTTTCTCTCTTCAATTTCACTGCTTCTTTCTTCTATTTTCTACATTTGTTATTGTTGTTGTTGTTTTTTTTTTTTAAAGATTTTATCTATTTATTTGAGACAGAGAGAATGAGAGACAGAGAGCATGAGAGGGAGGAGGGTCAGAGGGAGAAGCAGACTCCCTGCCGAGCAGGGAGCCCGATGCAGGACTCGATCCCGGGACTCCAGGATCATGACCCGAGCCGAAGGCAGTCGCTTAACCAACTGAGCCACCCAGGTGCCCTGTTATTGTTGTTTTATTGTGTTTTTCAGTTTTATAATTTCCACTTGGTTCTTCTTTATATCTCCATTTCTTTGCAGAGACTTTAAATGTTTTCATTTGTTTCAAGTGTTCACGATTATTTGTTGAAACGTGTTTATGATGCCTCCTTCGAAATCTTAATTCAGATAATTAGGATTCAGGATTGATATTTCTTTTTAAAATTTTTTTTTTTTTAAGATTTTATTTATTTGTGAGAGAGAGAATGAGAGACAGAGAACATGAGAGGGAGGAGGGTCAGAGGGAGAAGCAGACTCCCTGCTGAGCAGGGAGCCTGATGTGGGACTCGATCCCGGG